TCTCTCTCTCTCTCTCTCTCTCTCTCTCTCTCTCTCTCTCTCTCTCTCTCTCTCTCTCTCGTAGGAAGTAGTTAGAAGCAGGAGAAAGAAGACGAAGAAGAACAGAGGAAGAAGAAGAAGAAGAAAAGAAGAAGAAGAAAAAGTAGAAGAAGAAGAGGAAAGGACGACGAAGAAGAAGCCGGGATGGCGTTCGCGGCCACGTGGCAGCAGCAGCACCAGAAGAAGAAGAAGAAGAAGAAGGAAAAAAAAAAAAGAAAGAACGACTCCCTCTCTCTCTCTCTCTCTCTCTCCCTCTCATGTGGCCTGTCTTGATTCGCGTTCGTCTATCCCAATGCGCCGGGATGCCACGTGGCTTTTGCTGCCACGTGGCAGCGGCAGCAGTAGATGACAAAAAAAAAAAAAACGATTCTCTCTCTCTCTCTCTCTCTCTCTCTCTCTCGTTCGTAGGAAGTAGTTAGAAGTAGGAGAAACAAGACGAGGAAGAAGAAAGGAAGAAGAAGAAGAAGAAGAAGAAGAAGAAGAAGAAGAAGAAGAAGAAGAAGAAAAAGTAGAAGAAGATGAAGAAAGGAAGAACATGAAGAAGAAACGAAAAAAAAGAAAGAACGACTCTCTCTCTCTCTCTCTCTCTCTCTCTCTCTCTCTCTCTCTCTCTCTCTCTCTCTCGGAAGTGATAAGCTTGGGTGAGAAGGAGAAGAAGAAGAAGAAGAAGAAGAAGAAGAAGAAGAAGAGATGGGCACTTACCTCCGCGACGGGCGACGCACGACGGGAGCTGCTGGCGACGACGACGGGCGACGACGACGGGCGACGACGACGGGCGACGACGACGGGCGACGACGAAAACGAGGACGACGGCGACGGGAGCTGCCACGGGCGACGACGACGACGAGGAGGCGATGACGGGAGGTGCCACGAGCGACAACGGCGACGGGCAACTTGCGACGGCAATGGGCAACTTGCGACGGCGACGGGCAACTCGAAGTGGCCGAGGGACGGCACACTAGGTGGGAAACCGAGGACTGCCCTCCCTCCAAGTTTGAAAACGGCGGCCTCATCTGGGCCGCCGATCTGCCTCGATCAGCGGTCCGGAGAGGCCGCCGTTTTGGATGCACAGAGGCGGGCCTGCGGTACCGGTTCAATTTTTTTTTTGGGCCAGGAGGCCCCCACAACCCGTGTGGGGGCCTCCTGGCCCAAAAAAAAACGTTTCGGCCTATTTCCTGCGATGCGCTGTAGGCCACCGGGGGGCAACCGGACCGGTTGACCGGCCGGTCCCACCGGCCCGGTTCCGGTTGGGGGTGGATCCCTCAGTAGGACCGGGTATGTAGCACTAAACAGAAAAAACAGTAACGTTTCCCTCACCCCGTAATAGTGGTCAGATGCATTATAGAAAGTGATCATTTGAGTATGGCCTCCATGTCATCTTTCCATGACACCATTGATCTCTGGTATGTTTGTTCCTTTTTATTTATTTTTCCCTTCAGGTAGACCGCCGGCACCAATGGCACTTCTGAAATTCCCACTTCAGGTACCCTCCGAAGAAGGCTAAGAAAATAGCGGCGCGCAGTGGGCAGGTAGCTTCGGGATTTGAATGCGGGTGTACTGGTGGTTTAAGGAGAGTTAAGGAAACCCCTGACAACGAGCCAAATTATCTGTCCACCAACGGGCTACTTTTTGAGAAGACCAATGTCGTTGACAAACTGTGCGTTCCCAACAGTGAAGAGATTCATAGCTTGATCCTAGGGGAATGCCATGATTCAAAAGGACACTTAGGCTGGCAAAACGCATCGACCAACCTGTCAACGTCGTATACATGGCCTGGCATGAAAGCCGACTGTATAGAGCATGTTCGCGGCTGCAAAGTTTGTCGGTGCAACAAGTCAGTGACAAGAGCACCTCTGGGTCTTCTTAGACCCTTGCCTATCTCAGCAGGACCCGGAGAGTCTGTTTCCATTGACCTGATGGATACAGGGTTTAGGAGTAGGCATGAGAAAAGTCAAGTCAAGTCATGGTCATAATAAATCGATTTAGTAAGTATGTTGTTTTCGTACCTTTGGCCGCAGATGCAAGAACTGACTTAGTCATAGAGAAGTTCTTTGATTTTTACGTAAGTGAGCATGGCATACCGCTGTCAATAGTTAATGATAGACACACGCGGTTTACCAGCCAGAACTGGCAAGATCTTGAAGTTGTTGATATCATCTGGTCGTCATCCAGAGACAAACGGCCAGACAAAACAGATGAATAAGATCTTGCAGCAATTACTCAGAATGTATATTAGAGCAGATCAAGTGAATTGGGACGAGATGCTTCCCAAAGTAGATAGTGCCTACAACAACGTACATCTAGCTACTTGCAAAACTTCTAATGAGTTCCATAAATACTTTAGACCACGTAGGCCGTTTGAGGGACTAGACCGGGACCAGATTCAAAGGTTACCGCCCGGTACAAGAGAGTTTGCTCTGCAT